TCATTTGAATTGATTTGGGTATTTATTTATCGAATCGTGATAGCGTGTTAAGATATTTGTTTTATTTTCTATATGAACAGTTGCTTTTGAGCTTTTTATCGTTGTCATAGTGTAAACATGCCTTAAGTCTACTTAGGCCTACTTATGAAGGGGTGGAGTGAAAATATATCACCTATTACTTATACAGTACTTACCTACATTCTATTGTGTACCCACTGCCTTTACTCTGAGTAAAACTTAACATCTTAATTTCCGTTGAAGAAAATGAAAAATAAATTTAGTAATTGCTTTTACTATTTGAATAGTATTTCCCTTTACAGATATGTAAGAGTAAACACGTTACTTATTTTGCTAATATTTAATAAGAACATGTACATATATAAAGTCTATACGTGCTTTCTTAAAAATAACCAACATGGCTTTTTATTAGCTATTAAACGTTCTGTTTATTATGGCTGAATAGGATAGAATATTGTATGTTGTTGTAATGATTTCATTTGCATATTCAGTTCGCTATTATTATTTGTGAGTAATTTCTTTGTTATTTGTTTCTGTTCATGATGCAATTTGGTGCCCGATGTTATGTGAGCTGATGTAGAAAATTCATTGCCATTATCACTGTGCATTCATTCAATTAAAATCTGCAAGTATAATTATGCTACTTCTCCGTGGTTTAATGGATATGACACCCGCCCCTGACAGCGAGAGGTTGCACTTGCAGGTTCGAATCCAGCCAGAGACACTTGTTTTCATCAACTGCATTAAAAAGGAACTTTTCGTTGAAGGGCTATGCTTGATACGATTAAAACATATATATATATATATATATATATATATACATATATATATATATATATGTATATAGGCTATATTCGCTTTGTTCTCAATTGTAGTCTATTAACCTTGAACAACAAAACATTCTCTGAAATTTTCGATGACCATTATAGGCCAATATTTCACATTCATTGATTTTACCACTATAGTTGGAATTGCTACAAACGGAAATTATTATACCGTGAGCACGGATATGACCACATTGGATTGCTTTTTCCAAAAAATCATTCCAACTGAACTAATTATTTCTTCCAGCTTTTCCACAACAACTGCATTGAAAAATCATAATTTGAATAGATATGAAACCATATCTTCATAAATACAGCAGCGTATATAAAGGTCGAAATCACGAAAAATCGTCGAATCTAAGCTAATTATTGTATATTTATGCTTAAAATTGGATGCAAGCTTTTACTGCCGATGCCATGTGCAATTACAGAGCAATGACGTAGGCCTGAAGACAAAGGGAGAGAAACACACTCTGTGATCAGACTATTGATTTGGTCATGCTGTTTGTGACGATTGTACTGTATTGTGGTTAAAAAAAAACCATTCGTATTTTCAAAATTTTGTTTTAATTCTTATGGTTTTTATCAAAATTCATCCTTTTTCAATTTTTCGCTCGACTCCTTATTCAAATGTTTTAATTGCTAGACTTTATTTTAATTATGATTTATATAATGAAAGTGTGTATTCATATATCCGTTTATGTATGGTTAACCGCACACAAGCACACAATAATATTTGGGACAATAAGTAAGACTAAACCACTTTGACAAAGAATGGATGGCATATGTTTGTAGAGTAAATAAAATACCGCTCTGATTGAGTTATAACAAGAAAGCTGTTATGGTCTACTCAGGGAGGTATAAGTTGTCCACTCCCTCTGCTTCCTGTTAAGATCGTGTTCGACTTAACGTAGGCTGATATTTGAAATATTTCAGGAAAAGATGATCACCGTTAACTACAACAGGGTGACTGTTTAATGTATGTATATATTTTGTTTGATTAATTTAGGTCTTGGCCGACATTGGTAATATTTAAAACCACAGATACGATAGAAACATAGGCCTATGAACATGCATGGGATTGCTATACCAGGGGTTACACCAGTCAAGCATCTGGCACTGAACGAAGGCGGATCGGATAGAGTGAAAATAATAAGAACTGAGAGTTGTTGGTTGGCTTCTCTTGAGTTTAGGAAAGATCAGATGTTTTCTGACGGCTGCAGAAATTTTATAATGTGAATATAGTATGAATTGGCAGGCGCATGCATTCGAGTGATTAAACCCTAACACTTGTTGTACAGGGGTTGGTAGTTCATAGCCTGGCTTCCCGTATGCCAAGTCTTTTATTTATTACTATTGAATTAAATGCGAAACCCCCACTGTTACTGATGGATTATTTTTAAATTATTATTATGTTTTATTATTATTGAATAAGAAGTCTGACGACTGCGGAAACCTCATAATGAGAACATAGGCCCTATTATGAATTGGCAGGCGCTTAATGTATTCGAGTGATTAAACACTAACACTTGTTGTACAGAGGTTGGTAGTTCATGTTCCTGGTTTTCTGTATCTCTTATTTACTGCCCGTGAATTGAATGTGAAACCACCAGCGAATATACTAACTGTCACTGATGGATTATTGCAGGCTCTAAAGTGTAATGTAGATCATACAAAATGTTGTGGAGGAGACGTATTACAGTACTTTGATATACGACCTATGGTTATGCCTACGTTTATGTACGGTATACAGGAAATGGTGTCTACTTGCTCTCGAGGAATTATTAAAAAGCAGGTTAAACAATGGTTAAAATAATACGTTGAAGTCCTTTGCAGTGTTCTCCCAATTGATTTTTTTTAACTGGTAATTTCGTCCATAATAGAACCAGCTAAGCGCACGCAACGTGAGGTATTGCCACTTCAGGTGGAGTTATACAACAATAATACATAATTATAGCCTAGGCCTGGTCAGGAATGATGTTAGTTTATTGAAAGATGGCCAGCCTAGGCTAGGCCTAATACCGTAAGTCCTTTTCTTTTTTCTACCAACACACAATTTGTACTGGTTGATCAGTTATAATTATTACTGGTAAAATTGACGGATAAAACTGCCTCGAGTGAACACTGCCTTTGTCCGTAGTTTGCTTATACAAATTATTTGCATTCAAGCATTTAATACAATGCGAGCTACTTAAGTTACACTGAGTTGTTGTATTCTGTATAGACTTATACGATTTTAAATCCAGGATGCGATTTCCCGAATTTGTCCCAGTTGATACAAGTTTTGCTTTGACCTCTGGTCGGTTGGACTCTGGTCGACCTAAGTACACATTATTGTTGTTGCCCGGCTCCTTCACACAATTTGAATATACATATTTCATTTTTTTGTGTTACATGGTAAAGCTTGAAATGAAGGTGCGACAATGTTATGGCTATCGTTTCGAGCCTCTAATTTTGTAGATTTCACGAGGTCGTTTTGGAAATGAAGGAGGTGCTACGGAAAGAAAAACCAAACCCTTTTGTTGTACAGTAGCCTTTGTCAATGCCAAGAATTTAATCATTCATTGTGTTTAATGCTAGGGTTAAAAGTATGCCTATAGGATCGTTATGAACGTTGTACCTGTATGAGTTTCTGGTGAATGCCAAATAGGCCTAAAGTAGGCCTTATATAATGAACTGTATACCTACAGTACTTGATACATGCGTTTTGCCGTCTAGAGTACATTTAGCCGTCATTAACAGGGAAACTTACCGGTTGACATCGCTGTTAACCGGTAGTAGTTGTTGTGGTTATTAATTATGACAGTGAAGTATAATCTATGGCTGTACAATACTATATGGTCTACACAATTTAGGCCTACAAATAATAATTAATAAACTTAAACTATGACTCATGCATATTTCACATCAAAATAAAGTTTAAGTATTTGTTTAAAGGATTTTCTTAAACAGTTCATAGGTACCGAATTATATGGCTTGAAAGAAGCAATCTCTTGTAAACTGGTTTTCCCTCAATCTGTCTATGGGATGGCTCTGGAGTATTAAATGAAAGGTTGCCATTTGCTTGTTTGGAACTGTGAGGGATGTTTAACTAGACCTTTATTATATTTGTGTCATTTATTACATTCTGAGCCGAAAGATATTCATAAATTGTAGGTAGTCTAGACCTTACAATTACTTTTCATGGTCCTCTCGAATTTCTGGATCCGCCATGGACTGCTGCAGACTGGCAAGATCACTGCATAGGCCTAATTATCAATTTCGTCCCATGTTTATCCGAATCTTTATTGCAATTGTGACTTTTATGGGCCGAATAAAATAATAAATAATAAAGACCAAAATGATTACACAATATAGAATCTGGAATAGGTCTTCATCATAACTTTCGTTTCCGCTTTCGTATTTCTTTAGATAGATTAATAGACCTAGCATTAATACGGGTACCATCTATATTTCTTACAGTTCTGCAAGTTTAGGTTTCTATCACTCGTGCTATTAAATATAAAGTAAAATTGTCACTGCGGACGTGCGTCTTTAACTTAGAGGTAGTGCAGGGGTGGTAGAGGCGAGCGTTTGTCCAGTGGCGTAACAACGTGTTGCGGGGCCCGAGGTGAAAACATGTTGGGCCCATCAGGTTCTTAGGTTAGTAAAGTATCACAAACCTAAGAACATTGTGAATATAAAGGTTGAAAAGACTGCAATAAAGGCAATGCCGGTATCACTAAAGTATATAATGATATTGTGTGACTATAAATGATAGAATCAATTTTTATTTCACACAATCCGGTGCCCTTCCCCCTACCCCCTCCCCGAGACCCCTGTGGATTTTACCCCAGAGAGCCTATAAGCATTATGCCACGGAGTTTGTCCTAAAGTTGCAAAGTGTTACCAGTCTGATAATGAGTAGTTCTGTCCAATTGAAACGTCTACCTACGAAAATATTATACCGCCACCGTTAACAATGTAATAAGGTATTATGTTAACAACTCATTCTTATATTTGATAATAGATACCGTGTAGGCCTAAATTGATTCACGCATTTGAGCCGTATGTGCAGAATGTGACGGACGGTGTTCTCGGTCTCCAGACAGCACAATATTTTTACGATCATAAGTGGCCAGTATTGACCACATCTTGGAGAGCCAAATTCTACTCACGATGGCAACGCGTTTTTTTCTTGGTTATTGGAAGAGAGGAAAACTCCTGTGGAAGTTTCTCATCTTTATTTGTCTTTTTTCGCCGCTGTATTTATGGATTCAATTGCAGAGTGTTGTGGACACAAGTTTAAAGGGATTGTCCGAAGAAAGACAAGTTCGAAATGAACCTATGCTTAAAGATGAGTTAACTAATGGGGAAACCGAAATTGAAGTAATCCGTTCACACAAAGCAGTAATAGACAATCCAGTGAAAGATATTCTTCAGAATGTTTCCAATAATGTTATTCACAAAAGAACTACTTTAAGGATATCAGAAGTAAAGAAACAAAGCAATGTCGACTTACCTGTACATACAACTCAAAGAAAACCTATTAGATTTGATAACATTGAAGGTAAGAAATTATTTTGTGACATACTTTTATATTTTATTCATCCCTTGATTATAATATATAACATTCTTCTTCGATCAAATGGTGTGTTGAACATAATTTTAATTTGGTACCAGATAAATTGGATACTTCCTTGAATATGTTAAAGTGTGATGCAGGCCAAAAATTAATGCATATGCCTAATTATTTTATTTTATAATCGAATTTCACAATTCTTGTTTATTGAATATTCATTTATATAGGCTAACTGTATCCATATGCTTCTCATGATAATAATAGGCCTATTAATAATTATGGTACTGGATTGTCGGACCACATACACCATGTGACTGACATAGAATATTAAGTTACCTGGGCGTCAAAGGTACATAATAATAACTAACAGTTACACCATGTGCATGTTTGCAAAATTTGTTTGAGGGAATAATATAGATAAATGTTTTAGCACCTGAGTATACAGGAGCCCAGTTTAAATTATGCAGACGAGACTGTCAAATTGTGATTGGTTCTCCCTCGTCGATTCTAGTATTATTATTACTGTATTATTATAATGTCAATTTAACATCTGCTCGCTACTTGTATTAAGCAGCATAATACGAGGTATTCGATGAAATACATTAACTGACATAATGTAATAATTATATCGTTGCATAAAACGTGCCTCATCATAAAAATGTATAAAATCGCATTGAATATTAAAATTATATTTTAATGAGGTCACGTCTTGATACGCGTGCTTGTAAAAAGTTTATTATATGAGCTGAAC